TTTTTTTTTTGTTTAATCACAGATGGCCTCGGTTCTGTGTTTGAATATCGGTTGATTGCCTTTTGTATTTTCTCATCTATAGCTGCATCCAGCTTGTGTTTTATATATTCTGTCATTAGCTCCATCTTTAGTGTCAATTCTTCTATCTTTGGATTGTTTGTCGAGATGTCCTCCATTGTGGACACCATTTTCTGGAGTATGTCCTCCTGCTGTTTATTTTTTTGCATACTCAATTTGCAGGTTTTACATATCCACGTTAAGTTGCAGTTACTCTTGCACATTATGTCAAATTCTCCCGGCATGATACCAGCGCAGTCCTTGTGATGCCATAGTTCACCGGCGCCCTCGCATTGTATTGCTTGTTCATTTTCTCCGAATCCTTTTTTACATGAGCCGCATTTCTCTTCGCTTTGGTTTACTGCATTTCTCTGTGGGGACATCTTTGGTTAAGTGCGTCACTTCCGGTTTCTCTCGTAGGGTGTATAATCAGTGGATTGTTGGTCTGCCTTAACCTCTTTGTCGTTCCACTTGTTGAGTTGCTTGTTTGCTATTGCTATTATACACCTAGGATTGATTTACGAACGTTTGTACTTACGTATTAGCGTGTTTTCTTTCTTATGAAGAATCTGTTTCTTCGCAAAAAGAACCAGTACTATCGCACCAATCAATGTGTATAGATACCACGGAATACCAAAAGACTGAAAACATAATATAGACGCCATCTTTGACGAAAACGACAACCAATCAGCTTCCTGTAAATCACGGATTACTAAGTCATAGACAGCAATTATTATTTTCACAGATATATGTTTCTGAATAGTCAAGCCGTAAGATTTGATCCATGGTCTAAGCTCCATCAAGATAAAGTTACGACACCAACGTCTAATTTTGTTTTCTGAAGAGTCCTTATTTTTTGCATTAGTCAGTAAAAGTACCATTGAATGTATTGCTCAAATGTCAACGGTTTTACAATTAAAGTGCATGTTACAGCTAGTTGCCTTCTGGGCATTTCCTAGGACTTCTTGGAAGGGAGCTCAGTCTATTGCAAGGCATCTACCTATACACAGAATAAACGCACAGCCATCCATGTCATGGGGGATTTGAACCCACGACCCCTTATCTCAAGCCTTAGGATACGCGGCCACCGATTTGCATCATTTTTCTCTAACTTTTTTCTTAATAATTAGTAATCACTCCGTTACACTTCATTAAGCTACACTACGAAATCGCCAGGATATTGTCCAAGATGTGGGAAGGCGGCACAAAACGTTCTTATATATTACATAGAGTGCCACCTTACTGTAACACCATATATTTGTGGGCACTCAAATATGAATGGCACCACACTTAACATTCATTTTCTTTTACTGGCACTTTTTGATAATTTTTTTCTTTTTACCAATATGATTATCTCCAAAATCTCCAATGGCTAGTGGGTAACACTTTATACTTTACGGTCTCTTATCATGCCATGTAATTCGGTAGGCACATACCTCCATTTTGAAAGAACTTGTTGCATTCTTCTACCATGAACATTGATTCAACCTACCAAACTACATGCAGTCTTATACCAGGAGGCAAGTTCCTATGAAACAGCATGCTTTCACCAGTCTATATGGTGTTGCAATCCAGAAGGCCATACTGTTTGTCCTCCCTTGTCATCCCTTATAAATGAAAGTCAAGTGGTGCCAATTTTGACAACCATCCTCACCACAAACCACCACTAATAATTCTGCCTTCAAATTATTTTTTGCAGGACTACTTGTCACAAAAGTACTGTACACAACCAATCATTGCAAACTGTACCTCATGTGACACTTAAACAAAGGAAATAACATGACAATGCTTGAGACACATGCCAAATACCACACTGCAAAGCAACTTAAGTAACACGTGGCTAAGAATGAGTGGGCTGGCCCATAATACACATAAGCTCACTTTATGAGAGCTGTCAATGATTTGCTGGGGTACTAAAAATAACAGGCTGTATGAGGCCTCTTCAAATAAAATCCATCTGGGGTTTGTTCTGAGTGAAACATGAGATTCTTTAAGAGTCCCCATGTGCACTGCGGCAAGCATCCTACTGACCGACCAGCTGACTGATCCTCTCCGGAAAGAACTATTTGAGCTCTGCTAAAATCACTGCACCACCACAGCATTGGTGACTATCAGTGTTTACATATTCTAACATCACCATCAACACAAGCACCCCTGTGGAACAATCACAGAACTTACCTTCAATCTGAGGTTCTCACAGTAGTGATTATGAAGAGTTCTATGTTCTGGGATATTATGCCATGTACTTCAGGGAAAATCATCAACCGACATTTCAGTGAAACATATAACCTGTGTCTTCTGGAAGAAAAGCCAAACAAGAAACCACTCCACAATCCCCAGGGGAAGCACACAGCAAATAAGAATGGTACTGAAGAGTACTTATCTTCACTTCCATAAAGAATACACACATCCTGATTTAATATTTTGTTAATATATTTCATCATCAATACCATTAATTAGTGTATAGACTATTTCTGTAAACTCTGTCATCCATACAAGGGCAATGAAGAGGTTCTTGAGCACATAAATGTAAAAATCCTTCCTCTTAAAACACCTGTCACAGAATCTGCAGACAATGATTGTAAAAATTAATTATTATACATTATTTTTCTTGATAGGCCTATGCAAGGAAAACATACTACTGTTGGAAATAATAAGAAATCATGGTAATAGGTCATACCACATGCTTAATAAAGTGACACACAACAATTCTGGAAATCCATATATCCATAACGACTTACATTTTATGAAAGGATTCTGACTAAACTCCAGTCTGGTAATTTTGTTACACTATGTGAAAGAAAGAAAAAAACTTTATAACAAAAGTTAAAGTTGCAACACCACCAAAAATGGATTACATCTCATTCAAATGCACATTGGGAACTCACTAAAATCAGGAAGTTTGGCAACTCATGATTACATTACATGCCTTCGAAGGGTACTGTAATGGAAGAAATATATTCTGACCAGAAAAGAGATTCAGTGTTTTCTTTTACTGGACCGACTTAACCATACCTCATCATTTTTTGTTTCTAAGCTCACCTCTACCAGTCAATTTGCCCCAAAGGTTTGGGGGGGGGGGAAGAAGAAAAAAAAACAGCTCCAGATTAATGTGACCAAAAATTACAAAAGAAAAAAAAATCACTGGAACACAGGAAAATACAGAACTCCTGTTATTTGTAGTCCCTATACATGAACTGTTAGAGGAGATGTGAGAGAATGTAAAGAGCAAAGACACTCTTCATGCAATTACAATATGGTGGTAAATTCATAAACTTGGTGGTGGAAAGCTTATGGCAGCAGAGAAGAAAAAGGCTGATGAGATTACTGTGCTCAGAAATTAATGTACAAAACATCACACACAATATAACTTACCAAATCTGCCGGACCACAAATGTGACATAATTTCATTTTACAGGTTGCTCAAAAATACCATTCTAAATATTTCAATACCTCTAGTCATGTTAGAGTAAGTATCCTTACTGTTTTCATCTTATATTCATTCAGAATGTACATAAACCTCTCCTCCTAAAATAATAATGGACATCTGCATGACAATGCAACAAACAAAATATGACTGCAGTTTTTCTCATACAACCCTAAAGATGAGGTTTATAAGACATTTTGCAGATTGCTTCCAATCTATCACTGCATTCATTTTACAGATATAACAATCAAAGTGAGCCACATAACATAAATGGAGAGATTCTGTGTGCTGTAACAGCATTAGATTACCATTCTCAAGCTCCAATAAAAACATCAATGTGATGATAAACGTTTCTCTCTCAAAATTCCATAACCTTTCTGAAATATTTTTAGTTTTGATTGTTTCTAATGAATGAAAAATATCATATCAATTGGAAGCCTTCTTCCTAACTACATCACTTATCATATTTTTGGAAATATAATTTCTGTTTTAATAGTAATCGAATTTATATAAACCAATACAAAACCACGTATGTGACTTATAAAAAAGTATATGTTTGTATGGCACTCCATCATTCCACATAAATTATTTTATTCATATTTCCAATCGCCAATTGGTATCATGATGGTCAATTACACTTTGAGCATTAGCAGATCAAATTTACTGGTCCAAAAGCAAATAACATTCATCTCTTGCCACATCACTTTCATTACCAAAGATCCTGTTCAGAAGAAAATGGACGAAAAAGTCAGGTCACATATGACTTGACCAGAACACTTTACATTCAATAGCATGGGGATGAAGTTAAATTTTGAACTTTATTCCGAATGCTCAGGATTATAACTCTCAAAATATCTGCATAACTTGCATACACTGTCATTGCATAATAATCATCTCAAACCTCAACGACATGATCTTGATTTATTCTTCACTGAAAAGGCTGACTGCTGGCCACAATTAACCATTTAATCCAGTGCTTGTGAATTTCGAAATTCCAAACTCCAGTTTCACCAAGTCTATGAACCATGTTCAAATTCCTGATATCCTTCAGCACCAGTAAAAATTACATCCACCCAGATTCGCATGGCTTCTGCACTTGGGGCCATCAGATGGTATGCCCTCTCATTTGGCTTCACTACAAATGTTAACTGAGGATTGGACATTTCACAGAGTTCAAGTGGTCCACATACACGTCTTCAGTGGACTGTAGAGGAAAAGCACACAGTTTATACAAAATAACAAAATGTCTGCAGTAAATTCTCATTCCGTATCTCTCTATAACAGTCACTGCTCATTACGTAGCAAACACCTTCCTCATTACTCTGTTCTTAAACATATGTGTGCATTATTCCTCTCTGAACTTGGGGTACAGGAAGCCTCACACAAGTACAGTGCCAAACACATGATGAAATCGCTTACAAAACATCCTGAAAACTTTTCCGTGCATGGAATAAAAGAATCTTGTTTAAAATTAAAAACTGTATGTATTTTGTGTTTATAATTGGTGATAACATGTAGTTTACCACTGCCTTGTGATCACAGACCATATTTTGTGTAATTCAATCTTTAGGTTTTCAGACAGGAGGCAGGAAAATCAAACATCCTGAACTGAATGACAGCATCAATTCCATGAATTTAATGTGTTAATAATTTCTTTATGGATGCACCTTTAATTTATTTAAATTTTGCAACATTGCATCTACATCTCCCTTGAGCTGTCCTGCTTCTCCCCTCCAGGCATTTAGCCATTTTGTTCACACAAATGCTCACAGTGCCCCATCCACATGGTTGGCCATTCAGTGCACACAGATGTTGGTACTGAAAACCTTTGCCAGCAGAAAGTGCTCTGGACTGGAGAGGAATACAACAGCAACCAGAGAGTTGCAAGTCTCAAGTCTCATCATCCCCAACATCCTTGGAACGAACATCTTTCTGAGGCCCTGGTATAACTACCTCTATTCTGTCAATTTACCTGGAAATATGCTCCACCACGAGGTTTATTCTCACCTCGGTCACTGTAGTATGTCAGGGTTCTTCGTATTCTGTCAAACACAAACAACCGTTTGTTCCAGTGGTGAAACTTCGAGCCCATCTTGTGCAGATATCCTCGACATGATGTGGAGTCTAAACTCACGTGTGGACACAGCTCTATCTGGTGACCAGCTGACTCTATATGGTGTCGAAGATTCAAACTCTCACTTCTGATTGGAAGATACCGTGTCAAAGGTCGCTGATGTGGTTGCTGTTTACAGATAAATAATCACATATATGTAAGTCATATAATTTGCAGAAAATTGCTATGGTGAAGAAATAACATACTCATATACTAGTTTTACAAATATTTCTAGGCTAACCCTTGTCATCTACAGCACAATAAAACTGGCATCAGCACTGGTACGTCATATTATATACAAAGGGTCTGTGGGAACTGCCCACATTCAAGCAAGTGTGACAACGCAAGCGTCCTTGCTTAGCAATGACGAGTAAACAACGGTTGCTAGGCAAAAGCGAGTAAACAGCGGTTGCTAGGGAACTTATAAACACGGTGTCCAGCAACAGCAGTACATATTACGTAACCGTTTTCCATATGTCCAACTCTAGGATATATAAGAAGACACATTGAGTGGGAGCGACAGTTACGGTTCTAGATTCTACGGTTCACTATTGTTATTATCCGTCTGCGTATACTGTGCAGCTGCAATAAAGCCTATAGGACAGTTCAACTAGTGGTTGTCTCTTCATACAACGACATCCCACAGATCTATTTTCAAAAACACAAGACATAATAATTAACCCCCCCTCATTCTCATTTTAGTTTGTAAACAAAATAACAAACACCTGGTGACAGATCAATCAACTCCATTACATCTCTACATACATCCTTAACATAATCAAATATGATATTTTCATTTCTTCTTTCCCTTTGAAAGCAGCTTATCATCATCAACTACCAATGCTGCTGCTGCTGTTTCAGGTGTGGGATGGGACAGTCCCTTGGTATGGCATACTCAAATGAGCCTATTTTACCAATCCCTGATGAAAGATGAGTATGGAGCATTGGCAGGTAAACCTGAAGTGCTTTGGTGTTGGGGATCCTCCCACCAGTGCTGCTCTGTCCACCACAAATTTCATATGTACTAACCTGGCACTGAACCTGATCTCTGACATGAGAAGCCAAGAAATAACTGCCAGAACTATAGCATGGCCTAAAAAAGAGCTGAACATCTTTATTATAATGACTGAAAATACCACTGCCATCTGAATGTTGCCATCAAGCCTCCGGGGGGGATTTACATAACAGGCTTGTTGGATACAACACCATGTAGCTTGGGAAACATGTTTAAATGTTTCAAAATAGCCTACTGCCTCAATCTTCAGGTCTGTTCTACTTGAGGATGGAACCAGCACGACTCTCCAAAACATTAGCACCTATGTACCTAAGCTGAGTGGGCTTAGAACCAAAACGAGAAGGCCGTTTAATACAGCTAAAAGAACAGGGCAGTGGGACACCTACAAGGAAGCCCTTACCTGTTACAACAAAGAAATACGGAAAGCCAAGTGATCCTCATGGAGGAGGCACTGCCAGGAGATCAATGATGTACCAGGCGGTGCCACACTCATGAGAATCATAGCAAAACAGGCGACCAACAAGGTCAGCACGATTAAGCTGCCTAACCGGCAGTATACTCAAACAGGAAGGGAGACACTGAACGAATTATTAAGGGTTCACTTTCCTGATTCAAAATTTACTGATAAT